ACCTTTAAGATCCCCTTGGAGCTAATATGAAATACATTCCCTACACCTGATTTTGCTGGTGTTCCCTTCCAGGATCCAAGTGCGAAAGTGACATTGATGAATGTGACTCCGCTCCTTGCCAGAATGGTGGGATCTGTAAAGATGGCATGGGGGAATTTTTCTGCCACTGCCAGCCTGGTTATGTAGGTATGTTGGAACGTGCCACCCTCTTAAATGAACTTGTTTAGTTCACGGTACATTCCGACGGAACACTTTCACAACTACCAAGCGGAGAAAGAGTACATCAGAATAGACAGAACATCCTTTACGCACAAAGGAGAGAAGAACAAAGAAACTCCCCGGGAAGGAAAAATACATCTCTGGGATCGAAGACCTACTTCCTTCCAGGCAGTAAGGCGGGAGAGTTAGCAGTGATGGCTGAGGAATGTGTTAGTTTAGTACAACATACTAGTAAGTGGACAGTATTAGACAGTGGGTCTAGCATCTCAATTCTAAGACCTAAAGCCAGTCTTCCTGGGTCGAATTGAGCCCTGGGTGCCCCATCCTGGCTCCAGAATTTCTGCAGCAGTTGATGGCTAGAAGCACAGATCTTTTTTTCACCACTCTTATTTACTTTGGCATTGTACCCCTAATAAGTAGGTAAGACTGTTTAATTACCAGTGTGTCAACTTGTATGTGGATGTGCTCCTTGTGTGAAGCTGAACCTTTGTATGTGGTGTATCTTAGGAATGCTGTGCGAAGCAGAAGTAAATGAATGCAGCTCCTCCCCATGTGTCAATGATGGGGTTTGTGTTGATGAGATCAATGAATACTCTTGTAATTGTGCCGAAGGATTCACAGGTAAATGTTTTAATGAACCCTCTGTACCTGCAAATCAACCCACAAGACCACCAAGAGATTGTTTTTGTGAAAGTCCAGAGTAATTGCACAAATTACTACGGTATAATACTTACTATATACCTCATGGTTTAACATAACCTTTAGCATGAGCTCCATCCCACAAAATTCAGAGCCTTACTGTATCCTGTGGGTTTTCCTTTTGTTCAGGATCACTGGCAAGGGCAATCCAACTGATCTCCATTATTATAACACAGTAGTCACAAAGAAGCAGGAAAACCTCATCCAGTAAAGTAATAAATGTTTTATAATCATGTGGATTATGCAGTTGAATCTTAGTGTCACGGTGTGTTCTAGCTTTCCAACCAAAGTGTTTCTATTTCTATTTTGTTTCAAAACCCACTGGCTTTGTTCACAAGCGCATGAATTTGGTAGGAAGACATCGAAGGAGAACTCAGTTAATTCTGAAAGTGGTGCTGGTGGACCAGTAGGTGTTGCTCTTCCCTGTAGACCCCTCATTTTAAACCAGGGCTTAGGTATAGTGGCAAGGGGACTCTTGCCTAAAATGAAGTGAAGCCCCCCTTGTGGCGATCTGGGTGCAGTCTGTTTCTGCCTCTGTCTCTACTCCTCCAGGTCTCCACTGAGAAAAAAAGAGAGAAATCTCTGACTTTTTATTAACTAGAGGATAGAAAACAATGGGAAACTGCAAATCATTTGGTCACACGTATCAGAATAGGTCATAAAGGTAGGAATCAAATATGAGGAAGCTACACAATATGCAAACTCTTAAAAAACGGATAGGAGAGAATGCCTTGTACTTGTTCACTGAAAAAAGGAAGCTGCTGCATGTATGCCATTAGCTATTACGTGTATTTAATGACAGTACATCAACATGCACTCAGCTTATACTGTATACAGTATATTCAATAAAATAACCAAATACGGTTTCATGTCTCACACTCCTGACACACACAATCAAAAACAAATCAAATTGCCCATTTTTAACAGAGCTTCCCAGACTGCATTTTTCAAGTCAGTATTACCTCCCTGTGTAGACAGCTAGCCATTGGGGTCAATGGCTTGTTGTTTGAGACAAGAATGTCCCCTGAAACACCCTTGAAGTTGATGCTGTGCTATGTGTGAACAGGAGTGCACTGTGAGCTGGAGATTAACGAGTGCCTGTCCAATCCCTGTGAGAACGGCGCTACCTGTGAGGACCTGGTTGGACTCTTTAGCTGCTCCTGCCTACCTGGCTTTTCAGGAGACCGATGTGAAATGAATATTAATGAGTGTGCCAGCACACCCTGCCTAAATGGGGGTACGTGCTCTGACGATATCAACAGTTTCAGGTAAACAGGGATAACCCTTCACATTAATTGCTTAATTCATTATTTCATATTTCACTGCTACCTACAGCTAATTCATGAGGCTCGTGAGTGTCTCAGGCTACAGCAGCTTACATCTGTACATTACTGACTATAAATTAAAAATAAAATGTGTGCCTATTAAAGTCCCAACAAATATCAAAGAGAAACATCGGGAAATTCATGTCAATATGATGTATATAGAGAGCATTAAAGGTAACATCACAGTGCATGCTAGTTTTTAGAAAGATTAGGTGTCTGGATTTTCAAATTTGATTTTTTTTTTGGCATTGATTTGGATTAATTGATGATTCATGATTAACTGAGATACATGCAAGTGACTCTGCTTGAAAAGTGAGGAAGTGATTTAACCTGTTGAATGTCAAGCTTGGTGGAAAGCCAGAAAAACAAAGAAAGGGGCAATATGTCCTACTTATCAACACAGCAATGCCTTTGTTCTGTTGGTGTATTGAAAGCAGAAGTAATGACGCCTTTGTGAATTTGTTCATCATGAGTGGTGTTTCTTTCAAAGCTTCGTGTGTGCTGTTTTGAGAGTTATCATATAGTTTCCTTATTGACCCTCACCACACACAACCAACTCCATTTGTAATAACTCGGCTCATGGCTACAACTGTTTCCACCACAGAAGAAGAATAAGAAAATCTGCACACGTCCTCCAAGACATGCAGAGATGCACAGTGGATCACTGTTTGAATATATTTCTGTAGCATGCAAATTCATTCTGGATTCCATGCATTTCAGATGCCAGTGCCGTGCAGGCTACACAGGAAAGATGTGTGAAAAGGATGTAAATGAATGTGATCCCAATCCCTGTCTGAATGGAGCCACCTGTGCCGATGGTTTAGGATCATTTACGTGCAAGTGCCTTCCAGGGTTCAATGGAACCAGGTGTGAGACAGGTATATAATGCATAACAAAAATGCAAACAGCCGGAATGCTCAGTAACGCGTACAAGTTTTATACAGTGTGTAGGTAAAAGGATTAATAAGTTTAATGGAAAATAAAATATCAATGCAGTTGTCAGCAAATACTGTAGATGTAAATCCCTAGCTGTTTGGTTTTTATAATATGTTGTTGTTTCCTCTTACTGTTATAGAAATGTCCTCACGATTTAACTTGGACTTTGAGGTTTCTGGTATCCATGGCTATGTCATGATGGACAATATAATGCCTTCTCTAACTGAAATTACATGCGCATTTTGGATGAAATCATCTGACACCATCAACTATGGTACCCCAATTTCTTATGCTGTGGAAGAAGGAAATGATAACACCTTCTTATTTACTGACTACAACGGGTAAATACTTCCCTTTGAATCTAAAGAGTAGAAAATGCAAAGTAAGCAAAGGAATTAGGAAAAATGATAAAATCCTGTGACGTCGCTTATCTACTTGTTTCAGATTTTATATGCAAGCATTGGTACATGTTCAATACATACATAAGAAGGTCTTTGTCTTAAACTGCTTTACATGATAAAGCAGCTAAAATGCCACTCGTCAATTACAGAAGTGACCCTAATTGATGGAGCAAAGCATTGACTTGGTACTCCAAAAGGCAGCCTCATCTCCGAACACAGACAAATCACTCGTCAATAAATGACAGTAGTGCCACCCTCCAAATAAAACGTCTCACTTTAAAAGGATTCAGTTTTTGCGCTTCTGTTCCCTGTAATCCAATGGGTCTTTTGAAAGGTGGGTGCTGTACGTCAATGAGAAGGAGAGGATTACTGACTGCCCTTCAGTGAATGATGGCAGATGGCATCACATTGGTGTTTCCTGGAGAAGTGCAGATGGCGACTGGAAAGTCTATATAGATGGGAATTTCTCAGATGGAGGGAAAGGCTTGTCCACAGGCACCATCATCCCAGGTTCAGTACCTCTGTGCTGTTTTATTACCTACTCCGGAAGAGATTTCCGGAAGCATCAGTCTGCTCGAAATGATTTAATACATATTTTTATTTTCTGTTTGCATTTCCTGCTGAGTGAAAGTAATAATAAGTATACATAATAAGTATACATAAATAATACAGTATATCTCATACGGTTTCTGAACTCTTATCTACTGCTTAAAAAGTTTAATAAAATGTAATTATTAAAGTACCTACTGTATACGTTTTATCTACAACTACATTAATTGATCTGAACTGTAATGAAAATAATTTGCTCCACAAGAACTTTGAGGCAGCTGTGTTAGTTCTATCTGATAATATTAAAAAATCATCTGTTTTTTATTTTTTTAATTTATTACCATATGCTCGCACTGCATACAGTAGATCATTTCTCTCTTAAATTAAATAAATTAAGGTTTCAAAGTCTTGATTACCTCACCTAACAGCTCAGCTCCTGCGGGACGGCAGCCCTGGCTTGAAATGAATGATAATTGACTGTCTTCCAGGTGGTGGTGTGCTAGTTCTGGGGCAGGAACAAGATGAGAGGGGAGAGGGCTTCAATCCTGTCGAGTCTTTCGTGGGATCCCTGAGCCAGCTGAATATCTGGGATTACGTTCTAACGCCACAGCAAGTAAATCATCTTGGTTCCTCTGTTTTGTGCTTTGTGTAGCAAAATAGGCAGCACATGTGTCATGGTGATTATCACAACTGCCTCTTAGCTCCAGGATGATCTCAATTGCTCCGTTTCTGTACTAAACTATATTAACTGGTAGAAGAATCACCCTTCTCAAAAAGTACTCTTTTTCTTCATGATGTCCTGAAAAGCATCACATGGGTAATAAAGAAATGAAATTCAAACCAGGTGTCATAATGTACTTAGGATATGAATGCCATTGTGCAGTTGTGGCAGCTGGGTCTCGGGGTAGTTAGGGGCTCTGGACTCACAGCTGGTGACTTGTGGGTTCGAGTTCTCAGTGAGATGTGGCTTACAAAACCCCGAGGGAGGCTCATCTCTCAAATTGCTCCAGTAAATGTCTCCAGTAAATCAGTGAGTCGCCAGGTCATCATTGTAAATGTTGTTATTTATCTGGTTAAGTAAGGATTCTGAAAAAGTCAAAAAAGACTTTCAGATGCCTATGGGTAGAGCACTCCTTCAGATGTCCAGAGCCATTTCTTCATCTCTGAGACAGCCACACACATTGGAAAGGTCACAGGTAAACAGGACTGGGGAACATAACCAACACTAGACCAGCCACAGCAGAAGCATCCGCTGTAATGATCTGAAATCACCCGATACTCATACCTCATGCACGGGCAGGGCAAAGAAATGTAGCATTTACTGCTTGGACATTGTATTAAGTTTGAATGTTTTTTTTTCAAATGTCAATGTAATTATTCTAGGTGAGCGATAGATGTGCCTCTATTAAAAAATATTCCACTTCTTTCTTTTCAGATCAAAGAACTGGCTAGCAGCTGCCCCGAGGAGCTGCGAAGGGGGAACTTGTTGGCTTGGTCGGATTTTCTCACTGGGATTGTGGGGAGAGTTAAAACAATCCACAACAGTGTTTTTTGCGCCGGTGAGGTACTTTTAGAAACTGCAAACAGCTGGTACTTGCACATCATTTGCAAAACCACCTTTGACTTTGCTGTTTTCATCTCTTCTTGCGAAATACACTTTAAAAAAAAACAGTAATTTATGTTTTATTTTGCGCAGCAGCACAATGTAACACAGACACGTGTACAAAAGCGTTCTTGTGTATTGAGCTTATACAATTAGAAAAAGTTCATCTGGTAACAATATACTTCTTGAAAAAAAAAAACATTCTAAAGCATCTGATGAAAAGGTGATTGATCTGTTGTTGGCGGCTCTTCTGTTGACTCCAGACTGTCCTCCACTGGAGCACTCAGTCCCTCACTTGCGAGTCTCGAGCCCCTCCATCACAGCGGGGTCCCAGGTGGAACTTTCCTGCGATCCAGGATACGTCCTGGTGGGAGAACGGGACCAGCAGTGCCTCAACAGAGGGGAGTGGAGCCACTCTCCACCGCAGTGTGAAAGTAAGCTCGTTCGCCACAGCTGGGTCTCAAAAAGCACCAAGCTGCTAGCCTGGAGGCAGCGTCAGAATAGCCTCTGTAGTCCTCAACAAGAACTGTACCCTGACTCTTGACAATAAGTGTTTTTATTAGGTGCGGTTGCACCCAGCACAAAAAATAAATCGTTTTTTGTTATTATCGTATATTCTGCTATAATAGCAGCAGTGCTGAGTCATGGTCAGGGCCCCAGATTTTAACAGGAAGGTTGCTGGCTCAGGTTTCAGGATGGACACTGCCGTCGTTCTCTTGTGCAATTTATATGGCCTTGAATTTGCATCTGCAAAAGCGCCTAGACTTCTAAATGTGTGAGAACAAACATAATTCCCATTGGATAAAATACTCAGCTAAGTAACTTCATATTATGACATACAGTCAGTAGTGTCTGACAAGACGGTGCAGACCGTATGCAGCTTTAAATGCTGAGAAACCCATTTTTACCCCTTATTTATTACTGTATGCAACATTAACATGTTCAGATGTTCTGCTCTCCTTTTTAATTACAAAATCACTAAAATGTGACACAACACGTACTTCACAGGAAGAATTGAAATGTGTGCTTGCAATTTTGACTCGTCGGCACTTTGCACCCCAGTTATGAAAGACATTTTCCATGGCTACCTCTGTCGGTAGTCTTTTTCAGATCACATTTTCCGGCATACAGTATGTTCTCTGTGAGATACACCGAATAAGAAAATCCTTCTTTTTACCCTGTCAGTTTTTTTATTCCGGCACAGGCCATTTTAAAAGCATTTTTAATATCTTGAAAGGAGTCAGCTGCGGCCCTCCTCCTCCCCTGGAGCACGGATCCCACACAGGACAGGGCTTTCAGGCGGGAGACTCGGTGACGTACAAGTGCAACATTGGTTTCTACCTGCTGGGCGACGCCAAGGTGCTGTGTGCCAACAGTGGCAGCTGGAGTGGCCACCCACCTGCTTGTCTTGGTAAGATGCACTGATCCGTTCAGAAATCTCGAAAGGCACCTGAAGTAATGTTAATAATAATACTTACACTTATATAGCGCTTTTCTGGACACGCCACTCAAAGCACTTCCTGGGTAATGGGGACTCCCCTCCACCGCCACAAGTGTGTAGCACCACTTGGATAATCCGGTGGCAGCTATAGCGCACCAATACGCCACACACCACACACCAGCTATCAGTGGGGAGGAGAACAGAGTGATGGGGCCAGTTCAAAGATGAGGATTATTAGGAGGCCATGATTGGTAAAGGCCAGGTGGAAATTTCGCCAAGATACTGGGTTAACACCCCTGCTCATTCCAAGAAATTGCCCTGGAATCCAGGAACTTGGTGTCATCCGAAGGATGGGGCCTTTTTTACAGTATAGTGTCCCCATCACTATACTGGGGCGTTAGGACCCACACAGACTTCAGGGTGAGTGCCCCTATTGGTCCCACTGATACCTGTTCTGGCAGCAGTTGACAATGTGTCAATTTGCACATGAAAAATAAAGAACATAGTGTAGTTTCCGAGCAAAGAACATCACCCCAAAACTGAGAGATTTCTGTGGAAGATACAGACTGTATATAGAGAGACAGTTTCACAAAGGATCACTGAGAGTTTTTGCGTTGTCATATGGTACCAATTCACACAAAAATACCCTAATACCCCAAAAATCTGATTTGCAATATTAGATTTTTACACTTCATGTGACATAAGGCTGAACGTCGGAAAACCTTAATATTAAACTTTTAAGATAAAATTCACTGTTGGCTTCTTTCCTGTCAAACTAAATCTGTTCCTGCATTTTCAGATGTTGACGAGTGTGCGCTGGGCTCAGACTGTGATAAGCATTCCGTCTGCCACAACACGGATGGTTCTTACACATGTACCTGCATTCCACCCTACAGTGGTGATGGCAGGAACTGTACAGGTAGGATTTTCATAACAAGTTTCCCTGCTGGTTGGAGAAATCTTTGAGATTGTTATCCTTGAGCAGAAATCTACTGTATGTAGAAAAGTGAATTAATCTGAGGATCTCAAAACAAAAAGGCAAGAGCAGCAATATCCTACATGTAACATGGTAAACAGAATTGTACTCAATCTTCTATTTGAGGCCTTACTTGTGGATAGTACAGATTTAACATAACATAAATCCATTTTCTATCCGCTCCTTCCAATTCAGGGGGAGTTGGAGCTTATCCATGCCAGCAACATTACATCCCTTGATATAAATTCTATACTTTTGTGTAGCTTACATTCTTGCCTGTTAATTTCTCCTTTGCGTTCTCTAGGAGAGGTAAATGATTTGTCAACATCAAAATCTTAAGTCTTTCTTCATTAGCAGCTTCGTCAAGCGCAGTGTGTCCTCAAGAGATAAGGGGAGGCAGATCTGGAGATTTGGAATAACTGCTAGCAGTCTGTTGCTGATATTCCGATAACTGCATATTGACGTCTGTGTCTGATGCAAGCACACAGGGCTGAGCTGGGGCTGCTGCATTTCCATTGTTCGCATGTGTCAAAGAGAATGCTTTCAGTGGTGCTCACTGCAAACGTGATCCAGTGTCAGGATTACTAGCAATGGGAAGGCCATGTCCTTATGAAATTATGCTTCCGTTGTTACATATATTCCTTTCATGTTCACCCATGACAATTTACTTTTAACGTAAAAATAATCATAAAGGCAAATGTAAATACAGGCAAAGGTGCATTAAGTATAAATTCTGTTCTGCTGCTGCTCTGTAGACTGTATGTCCTCATTTACATGTATAGATTTATATTTTAACCATGTTATTTGAAACCTGTTCCGACACAGTGTTGTTATTTCATCACACAGTTTTAACAATAAAGATGTCTTGAAGCACCTTGATGTGCAGTCATGTAATAACATTTCCAGTAAATAGCAATTTCGTTCAATGCTGTTTTTTCTCTGGCCTCAGACAAATTTAAAAAAGAACAAACACTGAAAAATGATCTAAAAATATTTTCATTGGCTGCCACTCTCCAGGATCAAATGGTTCATCTCCTGAGTACTATAGTCAAGCAATTAACTTTGATTAACAGTCTTTATACTTGTCTGCTTTTGAACAGAGCCTGTTCAGTGTAAAGACCCAGGTACCCCACAGTTTGGCCACAGAGATGGAAATGTCTATATGGTAGGTGGTGAAGTGGTTTTCTCTTGTGAGGAAGGATATGAGCTGATTGGGTCAGCCAGGATTTTGTGCTTAGAATCTGGGACATGGGATCTTCCCGCTCCATACTGTAAAGGTAAGCAGGATTACCTCTCCTGTTTTTCCATTTTGAAACACATACTGTAAAAAATACAAAGTGAGAACAATGCTAAAGAGTCACTCCTTATGTGTCTCTCAATCTGTTCTTCCTATTTTATGCTGAAATGGGTGCATAGTATAATTTCATGTTGGTATTTTCAAACATACTGTAGATGTTTACTGAAAACTCAGCAGATCAATTCAATAACTTGTTGTCAGGAAATCTGAAAGCCTCTCTCAGCAGTTTTGCTATTTTTTCTCACCGTAGACAGCTGTATGGGTATTGATCCACTATGCTAAAAAGTTCAGCCTTTCTTTGTCAATGCTTGCTCGCATGCAGAATTCTAAATCCAGTTAAAACCTTGTTTTATATGAAAGCTGTGTCCTGTGGAAGGCCATCTGTACCAGAAAATGCCATCATGGAGGGAATCAACTTTACTTATGGCAGCAAGGTGACTTTCAGGTATCATGGTCAGGTCTTTAAAAGTCTTATACTAATCAACTAATTAAATTGGCACCTATTAAAAAGCCTGCAAGGTTTCACAAGGCTGTTTGCCGTTTCTAAATTTGTCTAACGACCTTACAATTTCCAGTAATCCATTAAACTTGTAAAACGCCCAGTTTTATGAATTGAATAGAATACACGGTATGTTTACCTGTAAGCTCGTTATACATTTGAAAAGCATTTCAAATGCCTGTTCGTGATTTCTTCTCATTTTTTATTCCTGCATGATTTTGCTCACTCGATGCCTCTCTCGTGTCCAGCTGCAAAAAAGGATTTGTTCTGGCGGATGAAGCCGAGATCTACTGCCAGGCTAACATGAGCTGGAGTAAGACCCCTCCTTTATGTCAGGCCATCACCTGCGGGGAGCCGCCGCATCTCGAGAATGGGAACTTCACGCTCAATGGAAGCATGTATCTGTCCACGGTGTCATACAGGTGCACAGAGGGATACAGGTAAGACAAGGAAAACATGCGCCTCACAGCCGCCGCTTTCCTGTTCTTTCGGTTACAAATTTGTAAAATCATGTACTGATATTAAAATGACAGTGTGGACAAGATATTACAAGTTTTAACAGACAGAGATCCACTAAAGAACATTATAGCATTTGCTGTACACTTCCATCACACTTGTTCTCTAATCTGATTTATTGCTTTTCAAAACTTATGTTATATTGACATCATTTCCTGATGTCATGATTTCCTGATGTCCATATTTTCTTACCATATGTGATCTTATCTGTCTGGAATTACAACAGGAAAATTTCTGCTATTTTTAATTCTAGATGAATATTTCTCTACATTTCTGTTTTACTTTCTATTGTAGCTTGAGAGAACTGAAACCTGTGCATGAACGCTCAGAGCCCGATATTAAAAACACTTAGTAGCTCAGATTTCCAAAGAAAGCAATGGAAATTGACGTCCTTCAGTGTTTTGAATACACTGTATTCAAAACTCTTTATTTTGCACTACATGTAAAACTGTATTTGTATTTCAGTGTTTTGAATGTATTGGAGCTAGTAGTAAGCTGAGAATCATGTCACCAGTACTAAGATGTCCAGTAATGGTACTTTCTCATGCAGACTTTGTTCTAAGATTGCAGGGTTCTGCAGTCCTCACCTGCGAAATGGCAGGAAACTGGACGGGACCTGCGCCAGTGTGTGAGATGGTATTCTGTGGTGAACCACCTCCAGTCAAAGATGCCACCATTATCGGCAGTAACTACACATTAGGGAGTAAGATTTACTACACCTGCAAAGAAGGGTATTTGTATTTTCTTTTTACTTTTCCATGCACAAACGTGTCACTACAAATGGGATTTTGGCAATGTTTGATAGTGACTTCGTAGAGTGCTAAGGTACTCTTGATAGAGTTCTTTGAAAAGCCTCAAACTCAATGAGAGATGATGCTTCATCACTGAAATCACGGTTGCCTAATATAATGGTATACATAGTCCTAGCACTGCTGAGCCTGTTTTCCAGCCGCAGGGGGTGCACCTAGTCTGTAGAAGTAAATGAACGTGATGATACATTTTTGATTTTGGGAGAAAATAGTTTGTTCTTTTTATTCAGGCTGCAGAGAAAGCCAGCTCAAACAGAGCACTGTTTCTTTCCGCTCCTTAGGTACACGCTGATCGGCTTGGAGAGCAAAGAGTGTTTGCCCACCAGCGAGTGGAGCCAGAGCTCGCCCCAATGCGTGCCGCGGTCCTGCGGCAACCCTCCGCCGATTGACAACGCCTTCCCGGAAAGCGGGCACCAGCTGTATGGAGACACAGCCATCTACTTCTGCGCTGACGGCTACAGCCTAGCAGACAGCTCCGAGGTGGTCTGCAATGCCCAAGGCCGGTGGACTCCCCCCGACAACAAGGAGCTTCCCCGCTGCATTGCCGACTTCTGCCAAAGGCCACCTGACGTGCCTCACGCCATCTTGGACTCTGTCAATAAGCCCAAGTACGCCAGCGACTCTGTGGTCAGCTACAAGTGTGAGGAGGGTTTCATGCTCAACACTACGGCCACCCTGAAGTGCGTCAGAGGCGGCCAGTGGACGCCTCCCCCCTTTGACATTCAGTGCATTCCGGTGCGTTGTTCAAGGCCGTCCAGCGTGGAGCGAGGCTATGTCAGTGGGACCAACTACAGCTTTGGGGCAGTGGTGGCTTACAGCTGTGACAAGGGCTTTTACATCAGGGGAGAGAAGAAGAGGACCTGCGAGGCGAACGGCGACTGGGGAGGAACCCTGCCGACCTGTCAACCAGTCTCTTGTGGAGAGCCCCCACAGTTGAAAAATGGATTCATTAAGGTACAGAAGTTATGCCAAATACACTCTCATTAAATGGTTGATACCAAATGGTTTCGGAAGTTTAGATTGTATTTCTATCAGTCTTCTATATTGGGTCAGTTATGAAACAGCATTTCAATGAAAAATATTTCCATTTTTTCACCACAGTACTTTTCTTCTATGTCGTCATTTATCTCCAACACTAATGCAATAGCAATAAACCCCAATTTAACAATTATTCCAAATATTTCCTCCAGTAAAGAACAAATTTGTAGCTTTGTGCTGTCTACTGGAATCTTCTTTTGTACAGAGAAATCTGTGGTTTTACGTGTCTTTCTGTTTGTGTAACCTACAGAGCAAAAGCAGTATTGTGTTTGAAAGTCAAGTGACCTACGGCTGTGATCCTGGCTACAAATTGGTGGGAAGTCCAGTCCGTGTGTGTCAAGCCAATCGACAGTGGTTCAGTGAATCGGCGCCGTCCTGTGTCCTTCTGACCTGTGACCCTCCTCCCACCGTTGCACATGGGCACTACGTTGGTACAAATTTTGAAGTGGGAAGCAAGGTGGAATACATTTGTGATGAAGGATATGAACTCTCTGAAGATGCCATCTGGACCTGCTTGAAGTATGGCAAATGGAGTAAAACTGAAGCCCCCGTGTGTACCGCGGTGCAGTGTCCAGAACCTCCGCTAGAAGAAAACCATTTAGTTCTCAAAAACATAGATGCCGAATCCGGGACCATAGAGCTCTCTTGTGACGATGGCTATGTGTTGCAAGGCTCCCATATTCTGAGGTGTATGCATTCTAAAGAGTGGAACAGCACCTTCCCTCTCTGTAAACGGGTATTTTGTGGAACACCACCAGAGGTGCTATTTGGACATCCCTCTTCTGCACCCTTCTATTTTGGTAGCTCTGTTACATATGCGTGTATGGAAGGCTTCACTCTGAGAAAGGAGTCCTCCGTTACCTGTCAAGCAGATGGTACATGGAGCAAACCCTCTCCAGAATGCATCCCTGTAGAATGTCCACACCCCAGGGAGATTCCAAATGGTATTGTGGATGTACAGGGCCTAACGTACCTCAGCACAGCCTTTTACAACTGCAAGCCTGGCTATCATTTGGTTGGAAACTCTACAGTACTTTGTGGAGAAAGTGGGCTTTGGATTGGAGCCATACCCACATGCAAACCTATTGAATGCCCTAAACCAAAAGAAATAGCCAGTGGCAAGGTCTCTTACTCAAAGCTCCAGTACAACCATGAGGTGGCCTACACATGCAACAGAGGGTTCCGTCTTGAAGGTCCGGGAATACTGACTTGTTTGGAGACAGGACAGTGGGATGCAGAGACACCAGTCTGTAGAGAGATTCACTGTGTTACTCCCCAGCCTATTGAGAATGGGTTTGTAGAAGGCATTGATCACAGATTTGGCTCCACTATCATCTATAGTTGCCTACCTGGTTTCCAACTTGCTGGCCATGCTCTGCAGACATGTGAAGAGTCAGGGTGGTCCAGTTCTACCCCTGTCTGCCTGCCAACTGACTGCGGTTTGCCACCTCACATTGATTTTGGAGAATATGTAAAGGTTCTGGACCCTAACAGAGAGCTGGAGAAGGAGGACATGGATGACCCAGGCTTGACCATGTCAAAGCCACAAAATGAACCATCTTCTTCTTTGGATTTAACAGATCATATGGATATTGGTTTTCTGCATGGCTCTACAGTTATTTACACTTGCAACGCTGGTTATGAACTAATAGGAAATGCAATGCTGGTTTGCCAAGAAGATGGATTATGGAACGGTACAGCCCCCGTCTGCCTTCTAGCAGAATGTGAACCACCCCTTGAGCCTGAGCATGGCTTTATCAGTCTATCTGACACCGCGCTTGGCAGTTTAGTGCAGTATAGTTGTGACGAAGGTTATGAACTTGAAGGGCAAACAGTTAGACAATGTGTTTCTGGCAGGCAGTGGAGTGACACAGCCCCTACCTGTAAAGCTGTATCCTGTGGAGAACCTGAAGGAATTCCCAATGGCTCAGTCAAAGGAGACACATTCACTTTCACGAGTATCATTTATTACGAGTGTGACACAGGATTTCAGCTTGAGGGAAATAATACAAGCACTTGCCAGGCCAATAAGCAATGGTATGGGAAGACACCACGTTGCTTACCTGTGTCTTGTGGCTCACCATTGCTTCCTGACAATGGAACCGTAGTTGGGAATGAATACACTTTTGGAAAACAAGTGATATACAGCTGTAACGCAGGCTTTGTCCTCGAAGGTGCAACACATAGCTCATGTCTGGCGAACGGAAGCTGGAGTCATGCAACACCAGTATGCAGGCAAGCTATCTGCATCAGACCGCCTGACATCGCTAATGGTGAAGTCTTGGGATCTCAGTCTGGCTATAAAAGTGAAGTGAGGTATCGCTGTAGAGAGGGTTACAGCTTGCGTGGGAAATCTCTGTTGATTTGTCAGGGAAACGGGGTTTGGGATTCTGAACCACCGCATTGTGTACCCATCACTTGTGACCCCCCAGAAGATATAAGCCACGGGTACTTGAATGGATCTAGTTTTAACTTTGGCGAATTCGTTGAGTACGTCTGCTTCCCTGGGTATGAAGTGCTGGGCAGCTCCATCATGCAGTGTTCCGCCAATGGCTCCTGGACTGGTACAGTGCCGTCATGTCAACCCTGTCTCTGTCAGCCGCCAACCATTGAGAATGGAGCTGCGCTTGGCAACGGCCATGCCAGTGTCTGCGGGGAAGAAGTGCAGTTTCAGTGCGAAGAGGGCTTCAAGATGCTGGGACCTTCTAAGGCTACTTGTGAAAGCGGTGGGGTCTGGAGCCCCGGTATCCCATACTGTGGAGAGAGTAAATGCTCATCCCCACCTTCAGTGCCTAATGCCATTATTAATGGAAGCAGCTCCATCTATCCGAATGCCATAACATACAGATGCAAACCTGGCTTTGAAATGACCGGCCAATCCCATTTGATCTGTAAGGACAGTGGTGTGTGGAGTGAGCCATACCCAGCCTGTGAGCCGGTGTCTTGTGGACCACCCCCTTTCGTTTCAAATGCAGACGTCATTGGGAAGGAGTTCACATTTGGAAATACTATTCATTACAGGTAAAGATTTTGAACTTAATCATAACTTAATAGTCATTTTAGACTGTGGTTCCAAGCAATTGCTTCTTCCATGCTTACACTCCTCAACCTTCACAAAAGTGAATCGATTCAGTTATATTTCTGGTTCATCATTACTCCAAATGATAGTCCATTTTGTAACTAGTTTACATTTACCTTCTCACCCAAACTCTTTGTAATTGGAGGTATTTGTTAGCTACATTTACTTTTGCACACATACTGTAGAAAGTCAGTGTTTTGATTTATTAGATATAAATGACCATCGTCATAAAAATATAAATGACCATTGTCTTTCATAATGTCCACTAGCTCAGGAAACAATAAAATTAAAACTGTAACACTCAAGAAACAAACCATGTAAAAGAATAGAAAAGGTTTTTGTATATATCATACAATGCAAACCATTTTTAAATGATGTATTTGAAAATTACTGTATTAATGTCCAAATATTTTTTAGTTGGCTAAAAGTACTGATAGCAGTGATTAACAAACATGACATGATTTGTTTTCTTTATATTGCATTTAGTGGATGATTAATTCACGTGAGAGTTAAATGAGGCTTTAATTGCATTGTCTTTGCAGATGCCTGGAAGGATTTGAACTTGAGACAAAAGCAAACAGCCTCAGCTGTTTGCAAGATGGGACTTGGTCCACCCATGTTATAAGATGTAAACATAAGACTTGCCCTCTGCCAACAAATCTTACAAATATTATCATCACGGGAACAGATTTCACAACTAACAGCAGTATTGGCCTTTCATGTGTGGAAGGCTTCCAGTTGCTTAGAGGAAGTTATTCTGTGTGCCAGGCAAGTGGTAATTAGCACATCTTTGTAAACTGCTTATTGCTGCTTTGTGTTATTTTATGCTTGTAGAAAATTCACTTCAATGGATCTGACAAATAAAGAAAAGTGGAACATGTTTGTTTTTGGTTAGCACAATTTCTGTGTGGCCACGGTTTTAATTTTACAATTCCTTTTACTGAAAGGATACTTAATACCAAATACAAAATACCTTGTTGCTTATAATGGAGATACGGGAACAATAATTTTCTGCTACTAAATATGGTTGTACCAAATTGTTTTGCAAATCCAATTTTCATGAATTGTGTATGATTTGAGGGTATATTAAATATGAATGTGGAAAAAATTGAAAGTATATCTAATTAATACACATATGCCATAATCCTAAGAAACAGTTGCTTTGCACAAACATCTTACTTGTTGCTACTGTGTCACAAAAAATCTGTATATTTCTATTTTTTTATGTCATGCGTGATTTATAAAATAATACATTTCAAACATATCCCTGAAATGTTACATGGGCTCTTTTGTGTTAAATTGTTGGATGGATCTGGGCATTTCAGTGCTTTATTAACATTTGAGCATCTATCTATTGCTCAATCTAGTGCTCTCATTCTGATGTACTGTAGTACATGCACTGCTGGTCGACCAACATATTCACTGTTCGTTACAGCCTAATGGCAGCTGGACCCCAGATGTCTCCTCTGACTCCTGTATACCTGTGGCTTGCAAGAGGCCCAATCCCCCAATGCACGGCATTGTGATGGGCACCAGGTACAACTACAGGGACAGTGTTGTCTACAGGTGCCATCCTGGTTATGAATTGCAGGTAATTTATTATTACTATTTAAGTGCAACTTAATGGTGAATGGTTGTCCGTGTGATTAAGTTTTATTGGTTCTTGAGCCTGACCACCATATCTAACAGTAACAAAAATGATATTAAAATTGGAAACAATTCCAATGGGATGAAGATTGTGAATCACAGGTTTAAAATAGTTTTGCAAGTGGCAAATATTGCTGCTATTACTAATAACTCTACAGTGATTACTACTGCTTCTGCCTGTGGTATTATTGTTTAAATTAACAGTGCGCTGTTGAAGTGCTAAACTTAATCTAAAATCTGTCACAAAACAGAAAGCAGAGAGTACAGAATGCCTAACAGGATTTATGCTGCAAAGTGAGTGCTCAGAAGAAAATCAAATGGCACCCAGTTTCTCGGTTCTGTTCGTAATTCAGTGCCTCGTGGTCTGTGGTTCAAACAACATCCCTTGTAATCCACAGCCTTGAGCTACACTGTTTTATTTTCCCCACCAGTTCTCTGTAAAGCATCACTGAGCTCAGTGTTATAGTAATTCTTATTAGAGTCATTGGGAAATGAAATGCTACTTAGTGTCACTAAACCTATTGAAAGTGTTGGTACCAACAAGACAAAGTCACGAGGGAAATATGGTAGATTGCACTCAGAAGGGTATCCTTCGCCTTGTTTGTTTGAGCTGTATGCAATTTGTATATCAACCCATAGTTTATACATAGGTCTTGATTCCACTATTCTAAAATAATTTCTAAGTTGTTATGCAGTGCTGTCTTCTTAAACAGGTGCTTTGTATAACAATATGATTTTTTTACATACACACACAGGGTAATCCGGAAAGCATCTGTCAAGCTAACAAGTTGTGGAGTGGAACAGAACCTTTATGTGTTAGTAAGTGACCTTGAATCTTTGTCTCTATGACAGTCAGCTTCTAAACACCCCAGTAAAGCACACTTGTAAGATCCTGTGAATTGTACACAGCATGTACATAAGTACTATACCAAGTGTAGACCAGTGAACCTATATTTTAAAAAGTTCAGAATGGCGTGTTATTCAATTAAACATTTTTAAGATGAGTGATGAGTTTTACTTTTTACTTGCACGTATTTTGTGTGTTTGTACCTGTTTAAGAAAGCCGACCACATGCAAAAGCGCAGAGAAAATACAACAACTGTTCCTGCTCCTCTTAAACAGAAGTGTCTTGTGGTCAGCCAGCAGCAGTAGAGAATGGACTTGTCCAGCTGAAGCACTTCTCAGGAGGGGATGTGGCTGTGCACAGCTGTCAGCCAGGGTTCCAGCTGCAGGGACCCAGGGAAAGGATCTGTGGAGCCAGTAAACAGTGGAGCCCATCAGCTCCAGTGTGTGTGCGTAAGTACTGAGCAAAGCAAAGGCAGCAACATCTTGTCTCCCATCATTCCTTTGGGGCAGGTTTTAAAAAAAAAGTGCAATATGATACAAAAGGTGGCATATAATTTCATTCTGGATACCTTCCATGATATTTTAGTATTGTACGGTAAAATACTGGTTCCACCTTCAGGAAGAATCAGATTAGTCGAGCAATTTCCAAAAACTGAGAAGCAGCAAAACAAAGCCAACTATATAATGACTGTGGTGTTTTGGTCCGGCTCATCTTGTGCCTCCTTGGTAACAAACCGTGTCATTCCACGAAACTCTTAATTAGTCCTTGTCCTACGTTTAAGGGAGAACACTTTCTCGCTTTTAGATCCTTTTCTGTTTCTGCCTCTGTTGATTGTGCATTGTTCATTTTTTATTTCAGGAGTGTCGTGTGGGACTCCTCCAACTGTAGAAAATGCTGTAGCCATGGCAACAGGAGAGACCTACCAAAGCAATGTGAGCTTTGTGTGTAACTCTGGTTTTCATCTGGTTGGTGTCCAAAACATCACCTGTCTGGCCAACGGGACATGGAGCAATCCGACACCACAATGCGAGGGTACTTGAAAGCCTTCTCTAGTTTTTATGTTGTTTGCTTTTGTTTGTTGCATCACACATAATTATTTCTAGATGGATCATTAAAAATACTACTATTAGTAAAATGTTAGTCCAAATGTTTTCTTCTCTTCTTTCAGTGGCTCTCGTTCATAACCTACGATACACAGCACCTCACGTGTTTCTAAATGGTTTCAAATGACCAGTGGAGCCGGTCATAGTCATAAGTCCAATTTTAATCAGTTTAAAACGTTTTGTTAATGAGGTCTTAATCTTTGACAAGAGTTTAATTCACTGTACTCTGGACATCCTGCTTACTGTAAAACAGTGCTTCAACAAAGTATTTCACCTTTGCTCACCTTAAATGAGATACTGTTTATGCCTTTTATCAACAGGTATTATTTGTGAAAGTCCAAGAGAACTACTTAATGGGAAAGTCCAATTTCGCAACCTGACCTCTGGCATTGCGGTGCAGTTCCAGTGTGATGAAGGCTTCAGGCTGGAAGGAGAGCCTCTAACATACTGCTTAGGAAACGGCACCTGGAGCTCCCCGTTCCCAACATGCACACGTATGATGTTTATTTGTTTTGTAATCCCAAGAGATCCCCTAATAAAGCCAGACTTCAGCCTGGCTCTCTTTCACCAATGGTGAAATTTGGTTATTTGGTTATAATGGTGATCACGTGAGATACTAACCTTTAGAGTGAGGGTACTTCCAAAATTCTGAAGAGTATAGGCAATGAAAAAGTTCACTCTCACTTTATTAATGAGCTTGTGATAGAGATTGTTGTTGTGTATTCAATGCTAATTGAGAACCTTGTACCCAATGAAAAGTAATTAAGTTGAAGATGGTGAAATCAATAAATGTCCTGAAGTTCTTTCTTAGATCCTTATCTTAAAAATAAAGGAATAAATAATCATACTGAGAGAGACCAGAGCACAGCATATGAAAGAGTACTATATTATTATTCCACTAAAACATCCATTTCATGGTATCCCGAATAAATAAATCAGGATATGGTCCTCAAAACAAAATAAACAACAAAAAAAGTCATTTGGCATCTCCAGAACAAAAGCTTTTGTATTATAATCATGACCAAAACTTTGAATTCCACTAAACGGTCTTTTAAAATGCTCTCAGGGTCTCCCAAGTGGCTCACCCAGCAAAGGCAGTCTGTCTGCATACAGGTTAAGTTCGATGGGTCAGGTGTTGCAGGTCAGAGCCTGGTTCATGTGACCAGTTCACTGTGACTGGGATTTCCCAAGGGGCAGCCCACAACTGGCAGACCTCCACTCAGTATGAGCTTGGAATGAGCTGAGCAGGGCTGTCTTGGCTCATAAGTGGCTTCGCAGGCCCCTTCAGGCTTGTAGCAGTGCCAGTAAGAAAGGCCCCATTCCTGCATTCATGCCAACTCTGGTGTCATACAGGTGGGCGCGTCGGAGGAGCTCATCTGCCCATCCTCCTGCTCCCTGCACGATACAGGACTTGTTTGTGTGTGAGCCAAGGCCCAAAGAGACGTCTGGTGGTCCCAGACTGGCTGGGTGGATCATGAAAAACATTTCAAACATCCTGTAAATCATACCCAGGAGTATCTTTTTGAGTCATTTTAGAAAATGTTACCTGAGTCACCCTGCCATGAATTCTGAATTGGGAAGTTTACGTGCAAGCTTATAGCATCTGTAAAAGGATCAGTGTCTCTCTGCTGCAATACCTGTTTTACAACATCGAGCTTATTAAAAGCCACGTACAGGACCCAACTTATTTCCATCTTCCTCTACAGAAAATGCAGTCAAATTGGGAAATACTTTGTTGCATAGATTCAACCGTAATTTTGAAATCAGAATTACAAAATATCTTCCTGTACGTCCAAAGCAGATTTGCATCGAAAGACACAGTTATCATCCTGCTATGTACAACACTTTCTTCAACAATTTCTTGCTGCATTATCTGGCTTCACCCAGCATGTTAAAGTCACATACAAGACCTTGAGAATTCCTACGACCTGGCACCCTCAGATATCAATGTCCTTCACCTGGAAATCTCACATCATAGGGCTTTCATTATTTGATGTAGCAATTTCATTATTGTCTGGTTATACTAATTGCATGTTGTTTTTGCAGTTGGAAGATAATCTACATTCTCAGGGGCTATTTATCACACAACACTTTGACCAGCTCTGTCTCACTCCAATGAGGACATTAGAATATAATTATAGGCTCATTAGAATTATAGACTGCAGATAAGATGCAGTGTTTTGCTTGTGTGTTCAAAAGAGTTCAAAGGCATGATTTACAATACATTAAAATGAAAATGACTGTGTGTTGTTCATTTATGGCATTATGCATAAGAATATTTCATGAATCCTTTTTCCCCGTTAGTGTCAATGCCATTTACACTTCCTGCATCCGGATTATGCCACTATCAAGTAATATTTTAATTCTTTTTTTTTTTAATTTGTGTGAATTTTATTTCAAAGTGAATTCTACCTCAGCAGCTTCAGTGTTTGCAATTTCCACTTGACACATATAGAAACATCCTGCCTGAGAAATTCGAATACAAATACAAATTGTCATAGACAATACATTCAGAATGTTTTAAAATGAGCTTGTTACAGGCTGGACAACTAACAGACAGTGAGAGAAGGGTTGGTCTAGTTATGTTGCTTTAGCGCCCTTTATTCTCTCAGCCCAAAACAAAAATCAGTTTCAAAAATGTTTACAGGGTGAACTTAAAAGAAATTCTTCAACTGCTTAGCAGTGCCTGGGACTCTTAGCAGCTCTTTAGCTCTGCCTGGTGTCTTTAACTGCATTTTCAGCCATCAGGGACTGGATCCTCCTGTGTGTTCATCTGGTCTGTAAACCCTGGTCTCGGACTGTCAGCCCCCCTCAGCTGTCTCTCAGTGTCTTGGACTGCTAGCTCCTTAGTCTCATCAGCTCTCTTTTCCCAGAGAGTGACGTCCCTAGCAGAGCTTTAACGGCAGCATCTCTTGCCTTTCAGCGGCTTCACCACATACCTGCTAAGGGGAAGTGCACCTTTAAATAGAGAGGAGTGCAGCTGTCAGGTATCAGGATCGTAAGGACAAACAGCTGCCTCCTCAGCTGAAGTTGATTAAGCTGACTGGCGGCTATAAGTACATGAGCACCATCACTTAAGCATCACTTTAAAAAACTGAGCAGTTTTTTTCCCCAGAATGGGCAGTTTGATCCTTGAGAAAATCAAGTCCTGTGCAATCACCCTGATATACTGTACCATATTTTGGACCGCAAAGAAAGACATTAATGTCTGAATATATACTTAGAAAAAAAAAACTTTACCTACCTAAAAATAAATGTTCTAGGATGGCCCCACCTCCATAGTTGATAATAGAATGACCGTTTCACTGCACACCTCTTTTTGATTACCGTTTATTCTGAAGCCACTGAATACTTTTTTATTTTGTAACCACACGATCTGGAAGAACCTTAGCTCATCTCTCAAATCAGGCAGCTGAGCTTGCTGTTGCAACCTCTGCGTCCTGCAGGAGAGTGAGGCCTCCCCCAGCAAGCCAGATGCGCTTTCCTCACCGCCAGCTCCACCAAACCTTATAGGGGAGTGAGTAGCAACCACTAGAGTTACAGAAGAAGAGTTCGGAATGGGAGGAGCCCATTAAGACCCTCTAGCCCTTTTGGCCCTGTTTGTCCGACCATGGTGGTGGACCAGTGTCTGTAGGTGCCTTGCTTGTTGAAGGGTTCTTCTTCTGTTCTCTTACCAATTTCCATGTTCTAACTCATTGTTCTGTGAGTTGTCGTCTTTTATGGTCTCCTCCCTCCTAAGGAAGTATTATTCCATTCTCTTACCTGAGTAGGGTCCTGGTTGCACCTGTTTAGATGGTATGTGTCTATAGCTAGTATCACTTTGTTTCTCGGTTTTGCCCAAGAGGTGCTGCCACGTGATCAAGCTGTAGTAGATTGGCTCACAGAACTTAACATAACTCATAACTTAACACTATTTTGCAATTGATACATTAATTAGCGTTTTGCATCAGTGTTTCCATAACATTTTAAAAACATGTTTGAAACAGTATATAAATTAAACTGTACAAATACTTACTGCTCATAGGTAGAAAAACATGTTTTTGCCCTTTATTGCATAGCAAATTCCTTACACTTACACTTACAGAGCGCTTTACATTTATAATTTATTGAAGTGAAAACAGTCTTTTGGGCAATATTCCAAAGTTTTGTCTCTAATGACAGAGTTGAGGGAATAAAATACAGAACTACTTTCATTTCATGAAATGCACAGCCAAAACCTGCATTAGAAGATTGGATGTGTCTTTTTTCAGTACTTCAGGCATCTGCCTTAATAAATAGCTGAGTGGATTAATCAGTCATGACTGCCAAGACATAATATATTTATAGGAGTGAGGAAATTCTACATCTGAATAGCACATGGAGGTATGGAGTGATATATATATATACAGTACCTAGAGGTATTAAATAAATAAATATCAATTAAAATTAATATTTATGCAATGTATTAAAAAGCAAATGGTTCCAGTATATATTTGTTAATTTTTAGTGCCACTCAGTATATGAGAACAACTCTAAAGACACATAAGTGCCTTTGATGTTTTTGGTCCAGGTTGTCCTTAAGGATATTCTCAAACACCATTAAAACAGAGATTGGAAATGTGGCAACACAGGGAAAGCATCTAAATCACGGAAATTTTGGATTTCTCTGCATAATCTGTATAATCTCGGTATAACTGGAATCAATAAAAAAAATAGATTTGATTCATGTTTATACAAAAGCAGCCGATGGGGCTGACTAACCTTCTGTATTTCTCTGAGGAAATTGCTCAGAGATCTGATACACGTTCTGGCTGCAGTTTTTTGTAAATTGAATTTTCAGGAATGCGAAGGTACAGCATGAATGACTGGCACTAAAGCTAAAATCAGCAAGAATTTTACGAGATACGGTGCCAGAAAAAAAAACGTGCTGAATTCTAAGCAGGGGCTTCCACTAGAATAGTCAGATTCCCTCTGGAACCATCTCTTCGCTGTGAACATGCAATCACAACACAACAGCTGATGACTCAGTCCCTCCACTATTAGCACAGGTAGCTGAGGTCCAACAGCACAGGTTGTGGGTGATTAAAAGCATGATCAACCCAATGTGAAATGCTGAGATAACTTATCCACTAGCAAGGAACCCTGAACAGAATTGACCTATTATTTTCCAGTTCCCTAGGCTTTTGGTCAACACCTGGTACGATTAATTTTTAAAGGCTTATCCCTAAAGCTGTTACAAAGTGATGAAAAATTCCTGCTTCCCCAGAACATAAAGCATTGCGTGTCAGCTGATACATCTCTCATCCGGTTAAACAACCATCCATTTTCTAACTGCTTCTTCCACAGATTAAACATTCCAAGCCTTATTTTCCTCCTTCTTGGGCTCATTATAATTATGTTAAAGTGTGGCAATTTAAACAAAACGATCAATCTTTTTGTAAAAAATATGGATCAACCCAGACATTTGTTGTGGAGACTTGATTTCAGTCGGCTTCATCATCAGATTTTGGAAAAGCAATGTGACATCTCCTTTTGACCAGCTTGTAAAAAGTCCAAGGAGTTGTTTTTTTTTTCCCCGAGAGCATTTGTGAAGTAGTTTACATGAATCTGTGACAACATTCACCTACAGTAGTAATCAGTTGCTTCTGAATTTTCTTGGTCATTTTTATTCCAAACCTGCAAAACAGAAACTTAAAAAAAAACATTTAGACTTTTAGTAACAAAGGGTTCATGAAAGAGGGTATGTTGACTTTCAAACAAAAACATTTCTGAGGGGTAAAACCTATTTATCACAAAGGTGCCTGCCACGGCTCATTTACTTTGTTTTCTTTCCAATTTGCTCAATTTGCATTGAAAACTACAACAATTTCTAAAAAAAGCATTTTCATTCCTATAGGAAGCATGCTGCCTTGATACTTTGTTTTTTGATATGTATAGCTCTCTTCAATGTGTTACTAATTATTTTTGCAACCTGCTTACTTGCATGGCTTTAAATGTTTAAGTAGTGGCCTTTTGTAATTGCATGGGGATACCTTTGCCAGGAACAACACTGAGAAATGCCTATCTGCATCTGGAGCACAAGAGGATAAACAGAAGTCAGACTTGCACTTCATGAATCAGCAGACATTGCTTAAATGACTTGGTTAAGCTTCTTCCTGCATCTAAGAGGGAAAGTAATTATCTTAAGAGCCCATGATACATCTACAGTAGATTGACAAAAAGCTATTAACAAGGTTCGGCATAAAGCATGAGTACTCAAATGCATTGTGAGAATCTTCACTATGATGCGGAAATTGGTACAATCCACAGAATGAAAGAGAACTAATAGGAGGGAGAAACTGGACTAAGGGAATCAGCCAAGTGACAATGGGATGTACTTTAAGCAGATTTTCTTCTTGATTTATATTGCAAAGCAGACTCTTGTATACACATGCAAACTTGTTCAAATTGTAGAAGTAAAAAACTGAGTGAAGGGACAAGGAGGCATGGAAAAGTTTCAGTACACCTGAATAAAAGTTTGAGGAATTTCCATCATGAATAAGGCAATGCAAGGAGAAAAATTGGTTATATAGAGGGGCCAGTGCATTTTTACAAATGATGGAACGTGGTTCTGTTCATCTAAACAGCCCACATACAGTAGTTACAGTGAACTAGGTAAATCAACCTTGGAGGCCTTTTAGAGCTGCATTTTGAAATGTTCTTTTTCATATACTCTATGTTGCCCTGTTGTCTATATAAACAGTGAGAACCTCTGTCTGAAAAAATGTTTTATATATTAATATTTAATTTATTTGCACTTTAAACTTATCGCAATACTCTTATGTCAAGCTATTTTCTCATCATCAGCAGACCAGTCTTGGTTCAGCACGTCCTCACTCCACAGGGGAGAAACAATGACTGATGAGATCATGACTTGAGTCTGACTTGAGACCCGAGTCTGACTTCTAGGGAAAACTCCTTGTTGGGAAGTTTGTTTTGGAGAAAAAAAACAGGAAAAAAAAAACCACCTGACCCAAATAAGCTCAGGAGAGAAATAAGTACACTAGTGAGTTTAACAAACATAAATCTTCGTTTATTGTGTAGGGATATCCTGTGGTTTGCCTCTACATGTTCCCAATGCCTTAGTGAGGGGCGCACACTTTCAATATGGAGACATGGTGATGTATTCATGTTTTGGCGGATACATAATGAAGGGATCCAGTAGAAGTGCTTGCCTTGAAAATGGGACTTGGACCCCACCACCTGCATGTGAAGGTATAACAGAATCTAGCCTGTTCCCTGTGTGAGACAAACGGGTGAATTTTGGGCACAGTGGTTCTAACAGTTGTTGCTGAAATCCAATGACTTAAAATCTACTTTCACCCCTTTTTTTCCTCTGCCTTTAGGAATGGTGCTAGTATTCAGTACATTCATGTTCAAAGTAGGAGCATGTCCATCTATAGTGAAGCACGGTTTAGTAAAGAATGGCATGACTAAAGCATGCGGACTTCTATTGAAACCAAATGAATTTTTTTTTTATTTAACAAAGGAAATGTCTTTGGACCATGTACAGTGTTAGCGATTTTCTGGAAAAGGAAGGAATTGTGAATCTTTAAATAGCATATGCCCCATTTTAAAATATATTTGATGTCATGTTCTTTGCAAATATATTTAGTTTTGCATGAAAGAAAAGATAAAAAGTGTTGTTAAAGGTCTCTCTGAAAGTTCATTATTGTTTTTATCTTTTTACTCCTGAGTGTTGCACAGACAGCCGTAGCTCAGATTTAGTCACTTTTATTATTGTTTTCTGTTTAGAATTGTGTAAAGGCCTGAAGCTTCCTTACTGCACTGTTCAACATAAGCAGTTTTTTAAAAAACAGAAAAGAAAAGGTCTCTGTCCATATTTTTTAATTAGTTTCATGGGGTTTATAATTCAAAAACTTTCCCGAGCTAAAATGCCACATGTGACTCACCAGTTTTACCAACCAAGTTCTGTTTTCACAGCATGAAAGCACCTATGAACTTCAATATGTTTAATTGTGCTTGTTCTTCTAGCTGTCTGTTGGTCCCCATGTGAAAACGGAGGTATCTGCCAAAGGCCTAATATGTGTTTATGTCCAGAAGGCTGGATGGGTAGATTATGTGAAGATCGTAAGTAGAAGCAATAAGAATAACCTTTAATTTACACTGCACCTTCCATGGCACTTGATCTCTAAATCTCCAGATTATAGATATAAATATAACTGAAGAGTATTAAACGTATCAAACCTACTCATAATGAAATGGACACCACCACCGCACCGTTTGTAAACAGTCTTTATTTTTCATAAATGATTATAATCAAATTGTTTTGGTATGTTGAGGCACAGTAATTATTTCCTCCATATCTGAGTCTCATAAATACTGGTACAAGTGGATTCAAGCTGGTGTTTTTTCTCATTTCCCATTTATTCAATTAATTGTACAGTCTACCCCTTACAAGAAGAGTGCTAGACCACAAGGGCCAATCAAAGGGACTAAAGTGACCATTTAATATAAAAAACACATTTAGTATAAAATAAAATTGGAACACTTGAACACTGCTGTTCACAGTGTGAAGAGTGCTCACACTTCAGTCACACTCATAGTTTTGGATAAGCCAAATTAATTCCCCAGATTTGCTCACATATTCTTCAAATCATTGCCATCCTGTTGAAAACAGAACACTGTTTTCTCTGAAAAATAAGGTTTATTAAATTTCCCTTACCAGAGTGACACAGCATGTTCTCTAATTCTCTGTAGCCTTGTCAGCAGAGTATTGTATTGCAATTTCCCATCAAGAGTGAAAAACAGCTTTCAGTTACATGAAGAAAAATCTCCCTTGATTGCAGCAATCTGCATCCTGCCGTGTCTGAACGGAGGTCGATGCATCGCTCCCTATCGGTGTGACTGTCCGGATGGGTGGACAGGAACACGCTGCCAGAATGGTAAGCTTAAATGTCACAAAACAGTGCAGTGCATGGCTATTACTAGTGTTTCGTGGATTTTTAAATACCTTGAAATCGTGCATTTCAGAGCAATGGAGAGGGATCCACAAACTGACAACACCTCGTGATCTGAATCTCAATGTGTGTTTCGCTGCTGCTATTTTTACATCAGTTGACCAATATGACTGAAGCTGTATGAAGGCTCCCCTTAGTTCATTAAAATTCTGAGCTCAACACACTGGCGAAGACATTAACTGTATAAGCTATACAGTATGAAAACAAGAAAAAAACACTCGTTGGTCCTGATCATCCTGGGAATGTTGTGAGATAGAATACATTTTAAAAATAACTCTGTGGAATTAGACTGTCACAGCTTGTCTTAAATACCATTAATGAGCATACCATAAATAACACATTCATGAAGATCTTCATCTTAGACAATCACGCTAACAGATTCTCCCAAAGCAAATCCCTGAGTCAGTGAAATATCTTATGTGCTGATCATTACAAATCCTTGCAAATCACATTTTCTTAAAAGCCTGGTGTGTTGTGAAGTCTAGCACATGTTCATTAAATTTTAGTTTCAAGGAATCGATTCTAAAGTTTAAAGTCAAGGCAGGCAATAGATTTGTTGTTTTTACATGAAAACCCCAAGGGCCAAATTTCTGCACCTTTCAATACAATTAGCTAAATATCCTCTCTACTCACCTAAATAGATTGTGGCCTGAGGAACAGGGATTACACTGTTGTATCTGAAGTTGCTAAGTAATAGTTTATAGTAATAGTTTTGCAGGTGGTTATTATTTTTCTTCAGGACCTCCGAAGAATGCTAAAACATTGACGTTTTTTTTGGAAACACAGATGTACTAAATATACTCCACACTGGGTCTTGAGTATGTCATTTTGTTACCATAGAAATATTTATTTGTGAGCAACAATATATGCATGGTAACCTTACAACAGTGTCCCCCAGGCCTAAACCAAGTTAAAGCTGTACAGACTGAAACCTGAAGATAATAAAATACCACCTTGCATCTAGAGGGCAGAACAGTTAGTTTAATCGTTCTGATTTTAACTGGTTACATTTTTCTATGGGACATTTAACACCAATCTCCAGATTCTTGTTGAAAATGTGACCAGTCAAATTAAAACAGACCAGTATTAATCATATTTTGTTATGCCAATATGCATGTATTTGTATATTTATTTTCTTTATGTAACTGCTACATAAAAGTCTTATGATTAAATCAGCAATATTTCAAGAAGTGCGATCTGATAAATGTCACACGTTATGTTTCATTTCTGCTGTCTGGTAGTAGCAGACTGCACCCATAAGAAATAGGAAACACAAAAAGACAGTAGGTAAAAACACTGCTCCCATAAAACTAATACCTGCGGATATATTCACAGTTCTGCTTTTATGTTGTTTGTAATAGAAATAAAACCTTAATATGAGCATGATAAACCGTCTTGTGGTGTGTAAGAAAATATTTACCACAGGATGAAGCAAAACTGCTACTTAATTATCTGGAGCAGCTCCACAGGACTGCATACTGTATGGAGGTCCATGAAGGTATTATTTAATTAGCTTTAACACAAACACCCACCTGTATGGTCTCAATTTAAAAATATAAACTTCGGCCAGATCTTTATAGTGCTGATACTGTAAAGATACACAATGACACAATCATGTTAAATCATTTGTGAATTCAGGCTTTGATGTAGCCCATACAATTTTTTTTATAGATTCCCCTTTTCAAAACTACTTTCCGACTAAGAAAATTAACAAAAACATCCATCTTTGTGCTCTTTATTGTTGTTGATGAGTCTAAAAAGGGTGATGGTTATCTGAGGTTTGAAGGAAACTACTCAACAGGGAGTTATAACACTAATATTTTCTGTTTTTCCTAGGGATATTTTTAGAGATTATACAAAGTCTCATGTACTGTAACTGAAGCTTTTACCAGACTACGCAGTGTGGGTGATAATATAAACTCTTTTTCACTTTTTCCTGGTACAGTAAATAATGAAGCCATCGCGTGTGTTGGGTTATACAGTATATACAGGAGAACTGTGACTCACTGGGTTTCAAAACTGTATTTTAAACTTATACTGTCTGCCTTGTTTCTCTAAAAGCTGGCTCCTACTGTCCAGTGAAAGTCTTGTTTCAGTATTCCAGGGTACTCCTGTTCTGTTTTCTAATATTTGTAGCCAGTAGTATTTATTTGTAACTAAGTTTATTACCTTCTTTATTAATTTATACTGAATACTTAATTGATCATTTGAAATGAATACTTAATTAATTCTTTAGTTAAATATTAACTGGGTGGACAGTTTAATAGTTTTTAGCTTCAACTTACAAGTATATTAAAGATAACACCTGCACATAAAGCCCCCTGTTATTTGACTGTAAATAGGTTTAGAAATGTACTTACTTATCTTTAATGAAAGCAACATGGCGTCACAGTGGTTAGCAGTACTGCCTCATAGCGCAGGGGCCCTGGGTTCAATTCCAGATCTGAGACACTATCTGAGTGGAGTTTGTCTGTTCTGCTGATGTTTGGGTGTGTTTCTTCCGGGTGCTCCAGTTTCCTACCCCAGTCCGAAGACATGCTGGTAGATTAATTGGCTGCTGGGAAACCTGTGGGTGTGCTTGCGTCTGTCCGCCCTGTGATGGACTGGAATCCGTCCCTGTCCAAGATTTACCCTGTCTGCACCATGGCTTGACCCCGAATTGAAAGAAGTGGATTGGAAGAAGAAACATTGGATGGATGTGTTTAATGCACATTTGATAGAAGTGTTCAGTGCTTATAGCTTTTAGCAGTTAGACACAAAGCTGCAAAGTCTTAGAAGGATTCTAGTTTTCAACATACAGAATCAGAAGTTAAGTCTGTAGCCTTGATTTACTACTGAAACTTGGTATTTAAAGATAGATGGATACTTTATTGATCCCGTGAGGGAAATTGCAGTGCAACAGCAGCTTAACACAGACAACACAGCAACAGTGTAACGAATGATACAATAATAATACAATACAGTGAGAAGTGCACTAAGAAGAGCACACATGAGATATGCACTCAAAGTCATTTCACATTGGTACATTTACTAACACAACACCATGTGCACAAGAAATTCTCAGGCCTTTGAATTCAGGTCTGTCAGTCCTTTTGGACTTTATTGCAGGATTAAGAATTGCAAATTTACCAAAGCGTTAATTAGTTGCATTAAATATAATTGCATCTTTGTTTCAGCCCTTTAATACAGTATGTTCCTGTATTAAGTGACATATGGAAGAAAGGAAAAAGGCAAGGGTTCAAGTCATAGGCCCATTAGCAGTTCATGATTCAACAGAAAACAGAGATGAGGGAGTTAAGTTATGGTTTACTGTCTGCACATATGAATATCAATATCCTCTCCTACTCCTAATTATTGTTAGCGGTCATATTGAGTGCCATGTGTCAGCCCCGCCTTACAGAGAGGATGCAAGCCTGTGATCCATTCGTGTGCTTTCTTTCAGCTGTCTGCCAGAATCCTTGCTTAAACGGGGGCAAATGCATCAGGCCCAATCGATGTCACTGCCCTCCTGCCTGGACTGGATATGATTGCTCCAGGTGAGAAACCTGACTCTGTGTAAGGTTGTTTTCCTGACTGCCTCACAAAGGCACGGATATGGCACTCCCCCACTCACAAGCAGCTCTTAGGATTCAGTGAATGCCACAGAAAAGTATAATTTCCAAAGATTTACCCAGTTACAGTATGTGCGATGTGGACCTTGAACCAAGACATAGGATACGCAGAACCTTTCCAAGTCAATATAAATACATAAAATATTACACAAGACAGGTTATTATGGGTGTGTGAAAATCCAGAAATAGAAAGTACTGTCAATGTTTGTAAACTACAGTACAGCTTCACATCTTTTGTCTTTATTTTTTTCTCTTATTTTCGTCCTCTGTTCTGCAACGGCTGAGTGCAGACAGTAGGAATCTTGTCTAAATTAATTTCATCTTGAGAGAATTAAATTCTTATGTTTGAAATGAAAGGGTGGTTTCACAGAATTTAGACATTTATTTGAAGGCTTTTTCTTTTCATACTACAAAGAACTATATTTTAAGAGATTTACATTTTGCTTCATATTTTTAGTTAAAAACATAAATTACAATTAAATGGAAATTTATTGAAACCCACCAATCTGGGAAAAATGCTCTAAGGAAATGCATATATATATATAGATATTTCATCATATGAGAACATAAGAACAGCCCATTTAGTCTGGTGTAGAAGGGAATCAGGTTAGCAACTTCATCATTGCTGGGTAGTTTGTTCATTACTCGCATAACCTTTTAGGTAAAGAAATGCCTCTCGGTTTTCTTTATTTTAATTTTCATTTTGAAGAAGTCCTCTGACTTTAAGGATTTTGAATATTTCAGATCCCCTCATAGTTTTCCCTTTTCAAGACTAAATTCTGTCATTCCAGAACAGCAATACATTTTCTATACTTGATACTTGATGACCAAAATTATTACACAGTATTCTAAATGAGGACTTTCTAGTGCATTTTACAATTTTAAAATAACATATATTAATTTAAATTTTACACCTTTAAATGGATATATCCCAATTTTGCCTTTTTATTGCTTTTACACATTGTATAGAAAATGTATATAGTGTGGACAAACACCTGTCTCTTCTAGCTCAATGTTCCTCATTTTGTATCTATGGTACAGTATGTATTTGCTATGTGTGTAAACCCCTGCACTTCATTACACTAAATTCCCTGTCTGAGGTGTTTTCCCAATTTTAAATTTAATCTAAGAGTGCAAGATTGCTTCAGGCAGACTTGAGACTATACTGTACTGTTTTGAAAAGTGAATAAAAATGCTCTAAAACTACAATACAAACATGGGTTTAAAATATAAGTTTAAATGATCTCTTTTGCATTGCTTTGAATTACAAAGCTTTAAACACATTTTACAAACTCTGTTTAGAAGTGATCATATTGATTTGATGTTTTGTTTTTTCAGGAAAAGAAAAGCAGGATATTACCTTTTCTAAAAACAAAATTCGTGGCCAGTCACATTTTTTTCCAGAATCATATTGTATTCTTGCCGAGTTGCATATGGAACACAATTTCATAAATGTAAACAACAATTTTTAATGTTTTTGAATTGTAAAATAAAGCTGTATTTTTTCATATAGAAAATAAATATACAGTAATAATTATATGCTGTTATATAATTTGTATTATGTGTACTGTAAAAACATTATGTGTTATGTAAGTCAATGTATATGTGTAAACTATTGTCACTTTTTTAAAAACTTAATTTTCAAATAAATTTTCACCACTGTAGAATTAAAATAATGCAATCCATTTCATGCATCTTACTAGATGTGCTCAGTTCACTTTATAGAGTTCCTTTGATTGTCTAAATGCAAATCTGAAAGCTAACTTAACACAAAGCCACAAAGCAGCAAACATTTTTAACACAAGTCACAGAAGACTTAAGGTCATGTAGTGTAGAGTAATACAGTGACTGTGGCAGTAGTTAATTTAATGGCTAACTCACTGAAACATCTACTGTATCCACCGTGTAGGCATTTAAGAAAAAACCTCCGACCTAGAATTACAAAAGAGACTGTTCATTGTTCCTTAAAGGCTTTACTGGACACTTAGAGCAAAAACAAAATTTGCAGAACCAAATCTTTCATCATCTTCAGTACCTGTTTTTTTTTTGTTTGTTTCCTGCGGGCAGGTACAGGTGCTGTATTTATTTTACTGTAGCAACAGTTCATACAATACTGAGCAAGACTGACTTCATATTGTTCTTAAGTCTTTTTTTTTTACATGGCAGATCAAAACTAAACCCCAATGTAGTTGATCAGAATGAGGATTCCCTGCCAGCCTCAGGTCTCAGTGTCTCACACCAGTTAGGCCAGCCATTCCCAAGGATGGTAGGTCATTGCTTACAGCCTTTTGGGTTTGACTCTAGTGTAAAATACCTACAGTAATAACAAATTCGCCTGAAGCCTTAATTTTATAATTTAGCATACTAACACTTCAGTTCTCCTCAACAGCTTGAGTAAAGAAAACAACATTTTATTTCTACTAGTGAAACCTCCAGCGGCCTCTGTGTGGATTCAAATTATGTTCATTACAGCTGACAGCTTGTTGTAAAAACAAGAACATCGTAGGTCTGAGATTATCTGTTCTGGGTACAATTCTGACTGTGATGGAGCAAAATGGAATTTCCTCTTTTTAAAAGGTAGAATATTTTCACGATTGGGATAAACAGAAACGATCAGAAAGTTAAACTCCTTACAAACCAGTGTAAAATAACATCTTGAGAACAACTGACAACACAAAAACCGAAGAAGAGGTACTGAATAAATTGAAATTGTTTATGATTCAATCATTTTGCTACCTGGCAAGTATAGAAGCATTAATACTAAAATGGTAGTATGGTACCATTTCACAGTTACAAGAGTCACTCATCTCAAATACCTTTCAAAAGTAATTTGCAAACAGAAACCTATGCTTCGGTAATGGTAACAGCAGCAATACAGCTTCTTTAAAGAAAAACTGCTAAGTGGGTCTGGTTAAAACAATGCAATTCGTTCAAATCTATCGGAACACTGAAGTAGGGAGACCAAATTAGTGGTTTCATTGCTGCTGAATTGAACCACAACTTAATACCAAAATGAAGGGTTTACATCAGTGGTATGGTAAAAGTCACCCTGCTGGTTTTGGTTTCCCTTGTAATGTAGTCACTTAACCTGACCAAGGCTACAGAAAGTACACTGCAGGAAAAGATGTGGCAGCAATAGTAATTCTAATAAGCAAGTCCCAAGAAGACACAGTAAATCGCTCCTACTCGGTTTGAACGTTTAAGATGTTAAAAAGTAAATAAGGCCCTGAAATGTGCAGCTCATGACAGCAAATATCAGCATGCAATTACAAATCCAGACAATAATGAATTAACAAAAATGTTTATTGTAAACAGCATGGAAATTTAATAGTGAATTTTGAAATATTTATAAACTATGAAGGTTTCTTCAATGTTGTTTGGAATTGTATTTATTTTAAGGCCTGCACCTTCTGTTCCAACATTTCTTTATTGGCTCCTGCAAACTCATCGACCTGTAAAGCAAAACAAATAAGAACTTCAGAATGACCCCAGAAAACTTTTGTTAATGGTGACAAGACATTTGGTTTCATTACCACAATACCGACATTGCAACTACACATTTTAGAAGACACTTGTACAGAAATATTCCAAAAGGATGAAAAAAAAAAACCATGAAGCCCAAACGTTTGCATATGCAGATGGTGAAGTGGAACACATTGCATTAACAGCCCTTTATTAAATGAAACATGATTAATAAATTGGAAAAAAAAAACTTCTCGAATTTTGAATAGCCATTTTTAGGCTTAGTAGTTCAGGTGGGTAGCTGCGTCAGCATGCGTAGGCTGCAAAGGAACAAGTAATAGGTTTATTCCATGCTGAAAAAAAAAGAAGAAAAAAAAAAAACAATGTTTCGGCCGTGGAGCCTTCTTCAGGTGTCTACAGGTTCTTCACACCTGAAGAAGGCTCCACGGCCGAAACGTGTTTTCTTTTTTTCAGCATGGAATAAACCTATTACTTGTTCATTTTTAGGCTTAGTTGGACATCTGAAAACAAGGCTAGAGATTTACATTTAAGAACAGTCTTATCAATAAAACTGATGCCTAGTACACAGAAAAGAATAATCTTCCTTAACCTTAAGAGTGTTGTAAAAAGAAAGACTTCTATTAGAATGGAATTAGCACACTTGTCAAAGTACAGTACAACCAAATGGTTTCACATTTAAAAATTTTCAAATGTTCACCACTTTAGAATGAAAATAATGCAATCCATTTCATGCATCTTACTAGATGTGCTCAGTTTATTTTATAAAAGTTCAAGAACCTTAAAATACTGTACAAAAGTTAGATGAAAATAACCTTAACACTTTTTTTTTTTACTTCAACTCAAGTGGCAGAGTTTATACAAGGACACAAGCCACTTCATTACAACCAAAAATGTACAGCATTACAATCACAGCAAATAGGGCAAATATGAAAATGAAAGGGATGATTCACATGGACTGCCACAAAATTTAGACTGGAAAATGTGAGACTTCACATTCTTATGTAACACATGCTGTATGATTGTGTGGAAAAGGCTGTCCAAGAAGACATGTTCCATCCTCAGGAATTCCAGAAAAGCCCAATACATCACTTCCATCCCCCCCCACCTTTAAATTATCTTCCTTATTAGATAAAAGATATCAAATATGTGAAAAACACTCCTAATAGAAGTAGTAACTCTCAAGAAACACTTTCAAACTAAGACCTAGTAAAAAAAGTAAACTGCATCACATTATTTAAAAATCTAGGAAAAGTTCCATATAAATATCCTCAGATATACTAAAGAGTAGAAGTGGACAACTTATACATGGGTGTGAAACACTGTACAAGGATGCATTATGTGCAAAAAAAGCAGAATGTGTTATATACCTTGATCCCATTTTTGTAGAACTGGAATGTTGGCATGCATTTGATCTCGCAGTGCGATGCAACATCCTGGAAAAAAGCCAGAGTAAAGTAAATCACTTTCTTAATGCTTTGGAGCACACCTTTTCTGCAGCATCAATACTTTTATACTGATAAAGCAACAGAACTCATTTCTGGTTGTAGGCAAGGAGAAGGCAAAGGACACAACCTTACAGTCTTCCAAGTGAAACATGCAAAGTACACCGAGTCAAACCGTCATCCACAAAAGAGTGTCACTAGCTGTACCAATGATCACAGACACAGGTAGACCCACATGGTGAACGATCAAGTTCGCAACTCATCATTCCTTTGAAGCAGTGCTTCCTGTTCCCAATAATGTTTCCATTATTGATTGCCATATATTCTTTTCTGAGCTACAGAAAATTTAACTCCTTTCAGAATTTTGAATGTCGCACTGTGATCATTCTTTGAAACCAGAATAATGAGGTGTTGCAAAGAACCAATCATTAACTTACACATATATTAAAAAACAACCGTAAAAAATGCTTACTTGTGCGTCGTCCACATCAACTTTCAGGAAAACAACATCTGTATATTTTTTTGCGAGGTCCTAAATAAAGAGAAACATAAAAGAGAAATTACAGATGTCACTTATACCCAAATTAGTTCATTGACACAGTGTACTCATCCACAGAGAGCAAGATTCAGATAGAGGTTTTCAAAGTCCTTTGAACTAATTAATTTTCTACACAATTATGTAGTTTGAGCAACTGATACAGGGCTGTGCATTAAGGGTAGGTCCAGGCAGAAAATCCATCAATAACACTTAGTGATTAAATTTGCCGTCTCCCCAGCTAGGGATCATCATAGCTCAGTGTGCATGAACAGTGAAGGCAGCTGCTTGATTTCCTCTCCATCAGTACAGGCCTCAGGCCCCAGGATCCAAGAGAAGAGGTGCAGAGCCCCCGTGTCCCCCAAAATTGTCATTTAATCAAAATGTTCCATAACCAATAGAATAAACAGCAATTTGGAAAACCTGATTAATCAATGTAAATTGGGCCAATTACATTTTTCTTTGGAGTAGTTTTTCACAGTTTTCTTATCACAACATGCATCTTGATCATTTCTTACCAATAATAACAAGACTGGATCACATACTTGCTCCTGTGCAAGGTACATCCAGTAAACTTAAAACAGAGGTCAAACGCATCTCTGGAGCTGCTCTTTAAGCAACTACCTCCCAGAGGCACTAATTAATATGGATAATTAAGCATGCAGCTACATGAGGCTTTTCCAGCTGTTGCTAGGAAACCGGGATACAGCCCACTGCATAAATACAGCACACCAGGTCAGACTTTCGAATTGCCACACCACCTTAGATGTTGTGGAGAAGCAAAGAAAGCCCACAAGCTGAAACTGTTCGTCATCAGTCTAAGGTCAGCTAAATCTCAAGCCGCCACTTCCTCCATCCGACGTGAGTCAGCCCGGTTTGTGTTTCCAAGCTCTGCTTGCAGAATGCACTATTAAGCCCAGGTGTGCCCCATCTAATGAAAGACTTGATTGTGCAAACACCTTGACAACATCCTCCATTACTTTAGGCTACACCATAAATCACAACCTGCGTTTACTCAACCAGCTGCAGTGTAAAAAAAAAAAGAAAAAAAAACCTGTCATTTCCTTGTTCTCTCCACCACTGTTAAGGATACTGAGGTAGTGGTGTCTCTTAACCCTTTTTCTGCAATAAAGGAAAAATCACCTTAAAAAACGGTCCAATCGTCTGGCATGGTCCACACCACATGGCTGTAAAATCCACTACGACAAGCTTGCTCCCAGCATCCTTCAGGGCTTGATCGAAAGCAGTCTGTGAAATTAAAGAACGGGGCTGTTGAGAACTAGCTAAAGATGGCATGTTTTTCCTACAAATTTTTTTTTTTAAACTCCGAAATTAGGCAAGATTTGAGGCTACCACCTCAGTGGTTTCAACATGTTGAATTTAACAATGTCAAGTGCACATTCTCTCTGTGGCCTGGTTACCTGTTAAATGTATTTGTGCAATTTTAAATTATGGTTTAACAAGCTGCTAATTAACAAATTTAAGTAGCGCATTAAGTGAGGAGCCAGCACCCATATCAACCTGCAGCTCTTAACTGGCTACCCCTCTGAAGCTCAGCAGGGTTGAGCCTGGCCAGTACCTGGATGGGAGACCTCCTGGGAAGCTATGGTTGCTGCTGGAAATGGTGTTAGTGGGACCAGCGGGGGGGGGGCCCACCCCCATCCTGCAGTCTGTCTAGGTCCTAATGCCCCGGGATAGTGGCGGGGACACTATACTGTAGTGGGTGCCGTCTTTCGGCTGAGACGATAAACCAAGGTCCCGACTCTCAATGGTCATTAAAGATCCCCGGGCATTTCTCGATAAGAGTAGGGAGTTATCCTGGTGTCCAGGCCAAATTTCCCCCCTCGGCCTTTACCATGGCCTCCAAATTGTCCCCATCTACGATTGGCTTGCACTTGCCCTGCGATGGACTGGTGCCTTGTCCAGGGCATATCCTGCCTTGCGCTCGTTGCTTGCAAGGCAGGATATGCCTAGGCTCCAGCTTCCCACGACACAGTATAGCATAAAGCAGTTTGATAAATGACAACACATGACATGACTATGGGAGGAACCAGTGGAGGAAAAAAAAAAACACATGCTGGTTTCAAATGTCAACCTTCACCACTCTCTGATTAGTAGTGAAACAAATTCAGTATTTTGAAGGTAGTTTAAACGACATAAAACTGCATTTTGCCTGTTGAACCTAACCCAATCCAGTACCCCTACAGTAAGGTCCTTGAAAACATTCAGCTTTGAAAGTTTAGAACGTGGAAAAAAAAAAATTAAAACACGAGTGACCTAAAACGTGACGCTTGCGGACAACTTTTGACACCGTTCCCTAACGCGTTGACATACTTGGGGAGGGGGGAATCGTCTAATTTGAAAAAAGGTGGTGTGTGCCTTAATTTCTACTACCGGCTAAAGCGCAGTGATAACGCAAGCGGGCCGAGTCCTCCAGCGCGCCACTCGGCGTCAGAACCACCGCCCCAGTGAGCCAGCTGCTCGCCTCCACGTGTTCTCTACAATTGTGGATACGGCTCTTTTTTTTTTAACTTTCATTTAAAAAAAAAATAATAATCCTCCTCCACCCGTTTCCCCACCTCCTACATCTTAAAATGGTGTTAATTTTAGTACTCCTGGAGGTGCTTCTGCATCTTAAAACCTCCTGGGACAGAACCCTATTTTGTTGCGCGACTTGCAAAACAAGTACAGACTGCCTTCGCTACTCTCTCCTCCTCCCCGTTTAGCTGGGTTAATGTTAATAAACCAGAAAGGCTGTAGCTACAGTTTCCAACATGTCCCTCTCTCTTGGGGGATACAGGGGTCAGCGAGAGGTCCCAACTACAGTTAATGAAGTTCAAACATCCACGCGTCACGCTGCGCCAAGTGACAGATCTTTTTTTTTTTAAGTAGAGGATGAATATTTTTTCCGCCAAAGAAGGAGATTGAGGAAATAAAATTCCGTGCAGCGCCATAAATTGGTAATTGTGACAAACCGATAAGACGCGTTGTTCTTTATTCAGCGGTGAACTGGTTTGCTGTTGCAAAACACGTTGTGGGTGCCGCTGGCTTACACAGCCTCCCAAGAAAGATCTGCAATTCGTGAGTTATTTTCTGGGTGTGTAAAACAAACCAGTACTGAACTCTACGCCCCCCCCCCAAACACATTCATGTACGAAAATAATACTAGAGAACAATCAGCTTTTGTCATGTAGTATCCCATATGTTACCAGATTTCATAACGCCGAAAGTTTCCAGCGTTTTTAAATTGGCTTGCACGGCGGTACGAATGAAATGACAGGTCACCGAAGAGAACCGGGTTAAAACAAACAACAACAAAAAGCGTGCACTCTTAAAAACCACGCTGGGTGGAAGACAGGAACGACGAAGGGTGCGACTTATAAAATATAAAGTTACAATAGCAATTTCAAAAGGCAGACGTCAAACATGGCGATCTCTGACGGCGGGGCTGGCGCGCTGCCGAGTCAGGAGGGACTATTTCTGGAAGTGTTTAATTGATCTCGAAGCGATATGCACCCTTACAGAAAAATAAGCTTCCACCATCCCATTTGCGGAACAGAAAACCTAGAAGAAACGCACCTGATGATTAAAGCGCAACTGTATTTTTTCCCCCCTCTCCCGAGCCACCTCACATAACCGCATTGGCCGGATCATACTCCTTGGCCATTGAAACCGCAAGACCCTGTTCGCGCAATAAATGTATCCAATATTTCTCGATCGGCGGCTCAGGAGGTTTCAATGACAACGCAAAGTCTAAATGCATCTGTTACAGAAAATTCCCCTCCACACACACACACACAAATTCAAGGTAATCTGCATGCAACTAGACACCATTTGGGAATAAAAGCATTCGGC